TACAGTACTTTGTAAATTATTTACTTCCAGACACCACCGGCATGCCTGTTTTGTTTTTTCTTTGTAAAAATCGATTTTCGCTGGCGTAAACTGCTTTTTTTTATTTTCTTAAAAAAAAAGGCCAGCGTTTTAATGTATTTTTTTTACACACATCAGCCATGTTCACACCGCTATAATTAAGTGACGTGAGGTTGTCCATTTTTCGCCGACCGCTATAATTTCCAACCGCATTTTTAAATGGATTTACAGTATCTCTCTATTTGGCTGATTTCTACTCTTTCCAGCCTCCTCCTGAAGCCTGGTAGAGGCTACTTCAAGATCACTAGCAAGTCAGCAGCAAAACTGTTTCAACACTGATACTGGAGATATTCAAATGTTTGCAGTGGCTTCATTTTCTTCATTTTTGCCGTGAAATCTTAACATGAAATCCTAATAAACATGGGTTTTCTATTTATACTGCATTGCAAAAACTGTAAAAATCTCCTTATCCCTTCTACAAAAAGTTTAAATCCCCACGAAAATAAATTTTCAGTACTTAACAATACACATTTACACGGTCACCAAAAAGGAAACAAATTTGCAGCATTTTTTTTTTAAATATCAAATCATGATTATTGCTGTCTACTTTAATTTTTACTCAAACTGGCTGGTTCATACAGTTGTAATTTATCATTGAATCACAAGATGGGAAAAATATAACGAACAAAATATATCAAAGACCCAAATTCAACTACGATTTCTGTGCTACCAACTATTAAAATCCAGCTCAGAATAAATATCGTCTTCACTTCAAATTTGACTCAGACCTACTGTATCTGAGGCCTGGTGAAAAATGTCCTGAAGTTTCCATGTTAGATATGTAGAACAGAGACGTGTGCTATAACTCACCTCATCTCACCCTGGGGGAGACAAATTAACAAACATTACCCCGTTACTATGGCAACAGAGCTGACTACAGTCCACCTGGAGGACTTTAGGTGACATCTTGAATTCATCACCACACAGAAATCCATGTACGCCCTGGGGAGGACTACTCTGCTGGGAACATCAATACAACATCCTACAACCCTGTACCTCCCTCTCTGCTTACAAAAACTCAACAATTCAGACCTGGAGGAGCATTTCTGATATTCTAGTTCAGAAAAACATCAACAAAATGGCTGATTTTGCTTCTAGTACAACAGAGAATGCAATCTCAAACCAAAAATACTAAAATATATTTCTCTATTACAAAAAGCATATTGTCAAGATCAAGATATACCCAGCAAAAAGATGGGTACATAAATTCTTCATTTGGAATATCCTTGTTGATGAAAACAACAACAAAATGCCTGCTTATTATTCTTATTCTTAAATAGTGAAATAATTAGCCAATATTTTTCCCCAATCCAAAACCATACAGACTAAAATACTACTATGATATACCCTGGCAAAATATTTTTGGCATTTTTTTTACTGTTGTTTATCCTAGAAGCTGCAACCCTTCTCTGTTCTTGGAAATAAAGACCCAACATTTCATATCCCTGATTTTCATATACTAATATAGATTCAGAAAAACAGAGACCAAACCTTTGTATAGGGCTGTAGTCACTCATATCTGCGCACGGAGAAAAAACATCAGTACAAATAGCTGCCAGTCACGTTGGGTTTGACGTACACGATTGAATTATCCTTCCTTATCTAAATCATCCCCTCCCCCGGGCCTGTTCTTGCGTACAGTAAGTAAGCGCACAATTATATCCTAAAAACAGGCTAGCCAGGGTCAGCGCTCAAAATCAATTACAAAACACGTCAGAAATCAGCCCGCATCAAGAAACTACAAAGCCCAACAGCTGGGTTTGGATCAAGCTCAATTTCTTCCCCCACCTTTTCAATCATAACAAGAGTAAACAAAGATCCCCCTCCTTCCCTCCTTGAGGCTAGGCTAAGACATCTTACGCCTTGTGTGATTACGGAGATGCACAGAGAGCTCACACACAGACCTGTTGCTGTTGGTAGACATGTTGCAATGTCCTGTCATGTAGGAGGAAAGACGGCATCACATTCGCACACCGACTGAGCACTACTCCGGCACACACAAAAGGCCAGACTGCGTCATATCAAGCCTTATGGATATTCACAGAATAAGGGCATGACTAAAAACCCTGGAAAGGCCCAGCTTTGTAATTTCACAGTAAGCAAAATATCCATATACAGGACTTAGAAACAGGACCCTTCGTTTTTGGACAAAGAAAAAAATGAATCCGTCAACAAAAGATCTGACGCTGCCTCAGGGTAGCAGACAATTTCACGAGTTTATTTGGGTAGAAAAAAAAAAAGAAGAAAATTGCATGCATACCATGTATGAAGGTATAAAATTTCAGGAATACAAATTATCTGATCATGTATGCAGTAACATTACATTACAGTATTTTACACATTAGGATTTGCTCTATTGTATACCTAGTCCTTTTCCTGCATCACATCCTAACTCAGCCTACATCAATGGCAAGAAAAATTGGGTTTCCCACTGGAAATCATAAATCAATATGTGTAATCATGTCTGCTTTAAACACAGCTAATAAATGGCCTGAACAACAGGGGACCGGCATTGGACTGCACACAATTGCTTCCAGCCATTTCATTAACACAAGGGACAAAAACGCTCAATGGACCAGACCTATTCAGGTGCAACGACCTCACAAAATCCGCAATAACCGTGAAATATAAACAACTACAATGGCCGGGACTATTGTAACCTCTTGTTGCAGTACCTGGCAATGAGGTATGACTTCTGAAGCCTTTTTGGGGGGACATGGAGCGTCGAGAATTGAATACCAGCGAAACTAAAGGCAGGGGTTTCCCCTAAAGGTGGTTCTCTAAATGGTTGTGTGCAACAGGTGATACCAGGCAGCACACCAAAAATGGTGCTCACACCACTGGCAAGTAGGGAATTAGCACAAATACTTTCCATGGAATTTTAGAAAGCCGTTTAGTCACCCAGAACCTGAAGCTAGTGGTTCTCCAGTTTATCTAAACAGACTCCTGTATCTAACCAAATAAACTGGGCCCAGTGTGCTGCATTTTTGCCCAGCCTAGTTAAGGTGACCCCAGGCTGGTCCATAGGGGATCACATACAGCCACCTTCCCTGCAGCTGTGGTACTAGGCAGGCAGACTGATTATTCCACCAAATGTGCGCGGACCAAATAATTTCTCTCTCCTGCCGTTCTCAATCCCGCTACTCAGCGATGCAAATTCGCGCCTATCTCCCATCTGCGGGCGATGCAAATCTAATAGTGCCTGAAAGCTATTCGCAGAAAATCAAATAGAACCTGACAAATTTCATATTCAGGGGTGGAAAACAAGGGCGGATATATGTATGGGCATACGCAGCTACCAAGCAGAGACGCCACAACCGAACGCAGCTGGCCAGGCTCTCTGAAACTGAATATTCCCCATATCTGAAGTGTTCATTCATATCATATTTAGTACAACAGTGGTGCGTCCTGTAGACAATCGCACACACTACTGACACAACAGACAGGCAGGATATCCACTAACACTAGCGGCTGGCAACAGGATACAGCACAGAAATCTGCCGCATGTTTCCCACAGATTACACTGACGTCAGGGACAGATAGCACACCAGACGTTCTGATACACAATATCCCGAAAGAAGGAGCGGCAGAAATTTTGTTGTTTTCGTATTTCGATGTCCGCCCTTGGCAAGGGTTTTTTCCAGTGCGGGGTTGGAAGCCGTATGCCCGTCGAAGTCGGGCTCAGAAAGGCCCCTAGAAAAGGTCGAAACGCCCCGAAACTCCCCTGAAACGTTCTCCAAAATTTGCCAAGATGGACGGCCTGGCTAACGGTTAGATTTTTGGTAAATTGGGGAGAGAATCGTAGAAAACGTAGCGATGTTTGAGGGATAGTTTATACTCACTCCATACTGGCGATAGTAGTGGCGACCGACATCGTTCCCATGTGAAAGCTGTCCTCCGAAACACACGTCTGAAAACCGGGGAAAATATACGTGACCGAGTACTAGGCAAGCTGGACCAGATCCTGTCAGCACACACGGCCCCCAAGACAGCCGAAATGTCTAAGATTTCAGACTAGAAGGAGACTACCATATGGTGAAGTGCGCCCGCCGTATTAGGTTTGGGTACCGGAAGAACCAATGGCCACGGCCCCCTGTGACTTCTCAGTGACGAAATAAACTTTCCTTTCCCGAGAATTTACCTTATGAGTAAACACCCCAGGGAATAGGGATAATGCTAATCAGGGAATACATAATGCAGGAATTCCTGGGGGTTTACAGCGAAACAGCAAAAATATGCAAAACCGTGACATTTTACGACGTGTTCTTATCCGAGCGCCGCATGACACGAACCAGATGTGCTCGGAGAAAAAACCCACTTCGCCTAAAAAACCTCGAGCGTAATTCCCAGGACTTCAGCGCAAAAAGTCACCTGTAAATTTCGTGAAGTGCCTGGTACATCATGTCTACATAAGGTGTGCAGTACGTCGGCCACCAGGACCGACCCGGAGAACGTAATATACTGTAGAAAAGCCACCCACCTTCTGTCCAAAGTCACACAAAAATAACCACAAACAAAATGGCGGACCTTGGGATTGCTGCACGTGTGCGCCACTGGCACTGAATTTATAGGGATGACCTTAAAATTTTATTAACAAAAACATCCAAATTATTCCATAAAATTCAGACAATTATATAGCAGACATTATCTTTAGTAAAAATATAACTTAAGAAAGGTTTTTCTTACATATAGTGTTTGAATTATACATTATATTCAATTTTATTCAACCTCATTTCAAGAAACACCCCCACAATTTTAATGTGATGGCCTAGTTTCCCAAACGTTCGTCGCCGAACTTTCCCGACATTTTTAAAGTGACAGTAAAAGTTGTGTCAGGTCGGGAGAAAGTCTCCCACAGGACGCACGACAAAGTCCGACAAAACAAACACACGGCCCGACTCTGTACGACTGGTTCTCAGTCTTGGCTCAGAACGTCCTTTTCTTCGGGAATCTCCGCCCCCTTTCGGACGGACTCGGAACCAAGATGGCGACCCCCATGGCCCTGAATATTTGTAGTCTGCCTTCCGATCCGCTTTTGCACGTATTATCTTACCTCAACTACGATGACTTATGCAGGTAAGACACTAGAAACATTGCTGCGATTTTTGGAACAGGATAGAAGCACGAAGTCGGCTCCAAACATTGCAAAAAAGGGGCGACAACGTCCGTATGTGGCGAGGGGAGGGGCGGAGTCGGCCATGGGAAAATACTTCCCGAACAGCTGAAGACACGGGAGTCAAAACGGCTGTCAAAAATTCAAACTCATGGGAAAATCTGGCGTACAAGTGTTTCTTTGTGATGCAGGGGTGACAGGGAAGCACAAAACGGCTCAATTTTGAGCTGTCAGTGCGCGGAAAAGGTTGTATTTGTTAAGAGTTCACAGGCAAACATTGACCGATTTTATCCGTCTATAAATAGTCTTCAGTAGCCACGGTTCAAAGCAAGTCAAGTGGACAATGCAGGCGTCAACATTTAATACTCAGGGGTCAGCCGAGCAGAAATTTGGAGGCAGATGTCAAAAGGCTGGCCCTGCGCAGAGTCAAAATATGAAGTAAAAACACAACACTGTGACCTGTGCATACTGTAGTTTTGCATATTGCCATTTCAATAATATAAAAAAAATGCATCTAACACAAACATATCGACAGAGTAATCAAAGACAAGCCATTTCTTGGGAAATTTTGCTGTTGAATAAAAAAATTCTGAACTAAAAAAAAATGTCTATACGCTATGAGTATCCCTTTCCCCAAAAAATAGATTTTTTTTTGTGGAACATTGTCCCTGCAATTTAACAAGAAAAAAAATAGTAGAAGTAGTGTATTAAGTAGTTGAGAAAGATTACAAACACGTAAGTTTCTATTGTACTATTTTGCAAACTAAGAGATAGACTGATCAGAAACATTTTGAGACAGTCTAAAACCACAATGTTTTAATCACAAAAACATGCAGAAATACACCCAGGTACCACTTGAATATCTGCCTTTTAGTCAGACCAACTTTTAAAACCAAGTGACCATAACCTACACAGCTTCAACAGACTCCTGTGCCTTTATAAGTTGGTTCAATAGCACCTGTGCACTTTGTTGATACTTAAAGACCAAGAACATGTTCAGAGTCTTTAGACTACAGGTTTCACAGGTATTGTGGACAGGTAAAAGCTCTTGCCAAGGTCACTTGACTAGGCACTTTTTCTGCAATGCTATACTCAGGTTTCACATGCAAGTATGCAAACAGTATGCTAGCTTATTAGAGCCTTTGCTCTATAATTCTGTATCAGTACAGTTTCTTTGTGCTATACAAAGCTGTAAAATGTTCAATAGTTAGTTTTGATATACTGCTTCAAGAATTTCTGAGACAGGGATTTCTTTTTACACAACCGGTAAATTCTCACCTTGCTGACATTTCGGTGTCTGTCAGACACCTTCTTCAGAGCTTCTGACTGGAGTACTGCATCTTGCCGCAATATGTAGTCGATGTAGGTGGCGCTTTTTGGCGGTCAGCAAAGTGAGAATGTACCGGTTGTGTAAAAGGAAATCCCTGTCTCCTAAGTTCCACCAACCTGATGAAATTATTTTTGGATTCATGTATTTCTGTCTCCCTTAAATGTACCTGTAAAAAAAATGAATGGTTAGTGCAAGTGAAAGTTGCTGGTACTACAGGTGTTTTTCCTTAGATTTACCTGTAAGAAACTAAAGGGAAAGGGTGGGAGAAAGTTGGTGTTCTGTTTTCCTCAGATTTAGCTGTACCTGTAAGAGACTAAAGGGTTCTTGTGAGTGAAAGTTACTGTTACTACAGGTGTTTTTCCTTAGATGTATGACACTGAAGGGAAAGTGTGAGAAAAAGTTGTTGTTCTGTTTTCCTCAGGTGTAGTTGTACCTGTAAGAGGCTGAAGGAGTTGGCAGGTGAAGATGAGCTGTGGAAGAGACAGAGTTCTATCTGGTGGCTGTCAACAAGGTACATGTACAAAGTTAAGTCTACACTAGGTTGTACTACAACCTAGTGTGGACTTAACTTTGTTTGTTTCACATAACCATCAACTTTAGGGCCTTAATCCATAACACAACAGTTTTGTACAGTAAGTACAAGCTGTTTGAGACTGGACTGTAAGGTTTGATCCACTCACACTGGGATGGATCCTTACACTTTTCAATCTATCTTTCTTTCCTTCTTTCTTTCTATCTCAAACCAGAACCTTTAGATTCTAAGTCTACCACCCAAACCACAATACAAACTTGTCACGTTAACAGAAGTATATTATACTCTAAAAATGTACATGTATACTGTACTTAAAGATGATAATTTGATGGCAAACATCACGACGAAACATTTGTTTCCTTACCTCCTGCAGTTGTTCGAGTCCTACTTGGAGGAGACACTTCAAGGAACAGTTTAAGAGTCTTGGGAGGTACATCAAGTCTTACCGAGTCCTGTACAAGACGTGGGCTCAACTTGAGACGTTCCTTTCTGAACGCTGCCCAAGACTTCTTACCTCCATCAAGGGTCAGACTTCTTTTTTTGTTTGTTTGTTTATTTCTTTGTTTGGACCGTAGGTAGTTCCACGAACCTTGTACATTATTTGTATAAACCTGTATATTTGTGTACTGGAGTTACAAGCAAGCTGTCTAGTCATGCCCCCTAGTGAGCAGATCTGGTACAGCAGGAAACCATGCAGAATGTCATTTACATTTCAAATGATTTCTGGATGAGTTTGGGTTGTGTTGTTTTTACATGTTTGTTTTAACGTCGTCTACAGTTTAAGTATGACAGTTAAAGCTATCATAGTTTTTATCAGAAGGGTTTTTAATGTGTTTTCCTTGTCTCCCCAGCCGGAGCCACAGAGCGAGAGTTGGATGAGATAGAGGTGAAGATCCGTTACCCGCTGCCGAGAGACGTGAGGTGTTCCTACAGGATACACAACGGACAGAAACTGGTCGGGCCGGGGTAGGTGCAGTGCCGCTGGCTGGTGCTAGGGGGAGCATAGAAAGTAGTGTTGAATAAACACATTGTGGTGTCGTAGAGATTTGACTACACCGTTTCGCTGTAATTCACTTAATGTTCACGGTAGAAAAATTTCATGGTCTGAGAAAAATGGACAAGTTCACAGAACTACTTAGTATATATTCATGATGGCGACAGGTGCAGGAAAAAGAAAGGAAAAACTGTAATGATAAGTTCACTATACAAAAGCGATGGTGAAAACAGTGAACATAAAAGTACCATGAAAAAATAAGAAATTACAGCATTATGGTGTTGTAGAGGTTTGACTTTAGCCAGGCTAATTTGACTTGTGTTTCGAAACCAAACAGTGAACTATGTTATACGTTTTTCTGAGGTACAATGTGCTTTTTTCTGATGTGCAAAGGACTCATGAAGGCTGTTAAGAAGCCAAGTTACTCAGTACTGTACTACAGTATATTTGAAAAGCCAATTTGCCAGCATATTTTGTTCAATTACACAGCCTTTCCGATTTAGAGGCTACCATAATGGATACAAACACAGTGATATTTAACCAATAAGGAGTGAACTTTATATGTAGTACATTGTACATTTACTTGTGAAATTTCCCTTATATATCATGCCCGTAGCCAGGGGGGGTTCGGGGGTTCGGAAGAACCCCCCCACAAGGCTCAAAGGTCCACTTTTTGGTCCACTTTTTATGTAAAGGTCCACTTTTTGGTCCACATTTTATGTAAAGGTCCACTTTTTTGGTCCACATTTTATGTAGAAAAACTGCTCCCTTTGTCATTGAATAAAAATCTATCTCTGATTTTTTCTTGGAAATCCTCTTGAAAATGCACGAAATGCCATTTTAGAAGGTTTATTTTTCAAAATTTTCCGGGGGAGCATGCCCCCGGACCCCCTTAGGAACCTCGCGCCTTCGGCGCTCGCCTCGCGCCTACGGCGCTCGAGGTCCCCTCAAGCAGTGGGAAGAACCCCCCCATTCAAAATCCCGGCTACGGGCATGTATATTTACAAAGATGGATGTAATTGAAGTTGTTTCTTACCTCCTCCTGTCTAGCCTGATGGGCTGCATGTCCATCTCCAATCACATGAGGTCAGAATACCTGCTGGACCTGCAGACCGCATCAGACTGCTTCCAGGTCAGAGTTCACATGTTCATGACTTTATACAGGAGTTCATGGTATCCTCTGATGGTTTAGGCGTCATCACAGTTGCATATTGAAAATAAAATACATCATTACAAGTACAACCCTTTTGATATGAAATTAAATGTCATATGAGAGTGAGAGTAGTTGTTCATGACTTTATACAGTAGTGTATGGCATCCTCTGATGATTTAGGCATCATCACAGTTGCATATTGAAAATAAAATACATGTACAACCCTTTTGTCGTATGAAAAAAAATTATTCTTTTTATCTTATCCCGATGACGATGAGAGTAGTTGTTGAAAATTTGATCCTTGTGAACCCTAGTGTTGGAAAAAGTTCAGCATTGTTCTACAACCATCTCAGTTTCGCTTGTAGTCAAGTGGTTAGCAACCCTGCCACAGAGATGTGGTGTAAAGACTATCCACTGCTGTCCACTCCTGTGCTAGGGTCCCCTAGGCCTGCAGCAGTATAATCAAAGACTGGATACTTCATCTTCATCTTTGCCGGGCTCTGAGTCTGAGGTGTTATGTGAGCCCCGGCTGCACCCCCATATAGCCCCTGTTGGGGCACTTAAGGAGGGTTACTTCTAGTCTGATAGTTCTAATAGTTCCTCCTCTCTGTTTCAGGAGTACTCGGGAATGTTCGGGTGTCTGCCGCTGACCCTGTGTATACACACCGGCTGTAGTTATAATAGTTCCTCCTCTCTGTTTCAGGAGTACTCGGGAATGTTTGGGTGTCTGCCGCTGACCCTGTGTATACACACCGGCTGCAGCCAGTTCATGGCTCTGTCCGAGAGGGAGGGGTACCTCCGGGGACAAGTCTTCTACCCCAGCCAGGTCAGTACTCTCACGTCTGTCACCATGGTAACTGGTGCTGTAGCAACACTCTGTGGTGTCGGGTTACATTAGCCAGGTCAGTACTCTCATGGTTTTTCTATACAGGGGAATAGGGGAGCTGCTCCCTCATGTAACCAGCCAGCTCCCTCATATCAATTCTCAGATTGAACCCTAAGTGGCTACTCACACACCATTTAGTCTTTCTCAAAATGACCTTTTTCCAGTAAAAAGAATACAGCAATGTATTCTAGCATTACAAACTGTGTTACTCTCATAAAAATGCTTTGCTCCCTTGCCACACTTGTGATCTGCTCCCTCATGCTAAATTTTTCTAGAAAAACCCCTGTAACTTGTGCTGTAGCAACACCCTTTGGTGTTGGGTTACATTAGTCAGGGAAGCAAACCTCATACACAGAAGAAAAATTTGCCAGCTCAGGTGGTACAAGTACATGTATGAGTAATTTTGGGTTTGGGCCCAAGGACTATTACTGACAATGACAATACTAGTACCTTTATACCACCAAGGCGGTATGGAGGCATCTTTGTTTTCTAATGTACTAGTATATGTTTTGTAATATACATGTTTTCTATGCACATAGAGTCCAACATGATGAACAATGATGTTGTGCCTGTTTTTGTTTTTAATTACCCACTTTTACTGACAGTGCGCGTCAGGAAAGTTGTGGGCTCCAAAAAAAATCTACTATTGGTCAATAGACGTAATTCCAATCTGAAAGCTAACTGGAGAGCAAAGGACACAAATCTTTCTGCCCTGCATTCAATGTTTATGGGTGTACAACTGTGAGACTGATAAAACTGGTTATGAAATAAGTTATTGTTATCCTTTGTATATTTCTTCATGTTTGTTTAAGTTCTTTACACAGACATGTGAATTTTTCACACTTTGACCCATTTTTGATTACTCCTTTTGCAGGTATCCCTGGCTGCATATATTATGTTAATGAGCTATAGAATTACACGATGGACATTGAACAGTCACAGAAGAACAGCGAATAGGCTTACTATTTTGCAGAAAGCAAGACACCAGAAATTAGCCCTACCGGTCGAAACTCAGCTTACACTTAACCCGCGCAAATCGCAACATTCTAATCCAAATTCTTACAAGGCTCTCACATTCCACAAAGACTGCTACAGATACTCGTACTTCCCTTGAACAGTCAGAGACTGGAATACATTACCGCAGGACATTACAGAAACTACAGAACCGGCCAGCTTCAAAGAAGCAGTGCTTGGTCACCTGAGGGAACAATAACGCAGCGCACTCCCCTCCTAGGCGTCTTACTCTTACCCCAACACAGGGGTGTTGCCTGGTACCCCATCAAGATCAAGAATATGGTGTGCTGGACATGTTGTACCTGCTTTTGTTTTTAATTACCCACTTTTGCTGACAATGCGTGTCAGGAAAGTTGTGGGCTCCAAAAAAAAGCAACTTTTGGTTATTTACACTGGATAGTACATTACAGGACACAAATGTTGCTCAGCTTTCTGCCCTGCATACAATGTTTGTGGGTGTGCGACTGTGAAACTAAGATTGGTTATGAAATTAGTTATTGTCATCAAACTTCTCTCGTTAATTTTTCCATGCTTTTTAAATTTTTTCCCACCCAACATGTGAATTTTTCACGCTTTGACCTGTTTTTACCACTTTTTTGAGCAAGTACGCCTAGTTGCATATATTATGTTAATGAATCCACTATGGTATACTACTACTAAGTAACACACAGTAATGGATAGGTTATTTGACCTGTATTACCTTTTAAGAGCTGAAAAAAAATTCCAAATGTGCACTTACAGAATGTATGACTGTCTGTAGTCTGTTGTTGTTTTTTTTGTTTGTTTTTCACCCACCCCCTGTACTGACAATGCGCGTCTGAACAAGGATGTGGGGTAGAGATAGTGTATATATCATGTTAATGAGTTATCAAACATGTTGTGTCTGCTTTTTTTGTTGATCACCCACATTTGCAGACAGTGCGCGTCAGCAAAGATGTGGGTTCCAAAAAAATGTATATTGGTCAATTTCCCAGCATAAGCTGGTTGTAGGGTACATGATTGACACAAATATTTGACATAATTCTGAACTGCATCTAATGTGTATGGGTGTACAACTGTGAAACTGAGATTGGTTATGAAATTAGTCATTGTTATCAAATTTCTTTGGTATATTTCTCCATTTTTGTTAAAGTTCTTTGCCAGCCATGTGAATTTTTCATGCTGTGACCCATTTTTGGCCACTTTTTTTATGCAGGTACCCTGGTTGCATATATTATGTTAATGAGCTATTGAAGGTGTTGTGACTGCTTTTGTTGTTAGTTACCCACTTTTGCTGACAGTGCGCGTCAGCAAAGTTGTGGGTTCCAAAAAAAATCTACTATTGGTCAAAATACGTCATATAGAATGGTAGAGCTTCGGAAGACACAAATGTAGGTCATATTCCTGCCTTGCATACAATGTGTATGGGTGTACATCTGTCAAACTGAGATTGGTTATGCAACTAGTTATTGTTATCAAATTTCTTTTGTTTATTTCTCCATGTCTATTAAATTTTTCACAAACTATGTGAATTTTGTAGCGGTTTGACCAATTTTTTTACCACTTTTTTGTGCAGGTACCCCTGGTTGCATATATTATGTTAATGAGCTAGACTAACAGTCTAACACCCATTGCCAACTGTTTTTCTTGTAATGCTAGCTGGATGTGTGGTTCTGTAACCTGTATGACCTTTTTAGAGCTGAAAAAATGCATGTTTGTGGCCTGTTGTTCTTTCTTTTCTTTTTTTCTTTTACCCACTCCTAGTACTGACAACGCGCATCAGAACAAGGATGTGGGTTGCAAAAATTGCAAATATTACATGTAAGTTGTTATGGAGCAGTGAGATGTTATATATTGCTGAATGGATTTATTATGTGTGGTTCTGTAACTTCAATCCAAAACACTTTTGACAATAACTGAAGTTATTAATGTAAAATATATTATATGTCTTGTTGTATATGATTGATACAAAAGTCCACCTTGGTTTTAGCATATTCATGAGAGCAAGATCCTTTTAGAGGGCCAAGATTTTGAAATTTTCCCAGTTGGCATAAATTATGTTGATGAGGTTGAAAAGGCACTTACCTGCTTCCACTACTGTATACTAAGTAACACACAGTAATGTATAGGTTACTTGACCTGTGTGACCTTTTTAGAACTGAAGAAAATTGCAGATGTGTAACAGAATGCATGACTATCTGTGGCTTGTTGTTACTTTGTTTTTTTTTTGTTGTTGTTGTTTCGTTTCTTTTGTTTTGTTTTTTCACCCACTCCCTGCACAGACAATGCGCGTCTGAACAAGGATGTGGGTTGCAAAAATTTGCATTTTCGTTTATGGACCCTAGCCGCGGTCGGCCGAGAATATAAAAAATTGTCGCAATGAGTTCATGTTTTGCTAACTGGGTTTAATATGTGTGGTTCTGTAACTTCAGTCCAAAACATAATTGACAATAACTAAAGTAATTAATGTGAAATGTCTTCTGGTATATAATTGATACAAAAGTCCACAGTGGTTTCAGCATACTAGTATTCATGAGAGCAGAGGTCCTTCCAGAGGGTCCAAATTTGAAGAGTTTCCCAGTTGGCATAAATTATGTTAATGAGGTTGAAAAGGCACTTGCCTGCTTCTACTACTGTATACTACCTACACACAGTAATGGATATTTGACTCCCAGGTCCCATGGTGACCTTTATACAGTTAAAGAAAGATGTGGGACTATTCAGTATCCACTGCCTTCATAAAAGAAGTCAAACCTTATAATGGTGAGCGTAGTAGTACTAGAAATATATTAGTAATTTCAGACATTAGTTGTATTGTACTACTTTGACTCTGTAAAAACAAGTAAATAGCAATTACTAGTACCACGTCGGTAAAGGTTAGACATCCAGGTAATAATATACAACAACAAAAACAGTTACTCAAGCAACTGGATATGATTTGGTAACAATTAGCTTTTGGGCATGATTTTCCAAAAAAAACTTAATATAACTTACTGTAAACTTTCTTTTGCTCTTTTTTCACCCACTGTCTGCACTGAAAAAAGCGCCAGACAGACGTGGGTTGCAAAAATTATTAAAATAAAGCTGTCGAGATTTAAAACACGGTCGAGTGTTTTTTTAGCGAACAGCCATGACTCAATAGTTGTTGCTATCTGCAATTAATATGTGTGGTTCAGTACCAGAAGAAAGAATTAATCTTGATGATAATGTAAGTAATTAATGTAAAATATCTTGTTTTCAATCATAGATACGAAAGTCCACCATGATCTGAACATGTTCATGTGTTTTGATCCTTTTAAACAGCCAAAATTTAGGAGGTTTTCCTGTTGGCATAAATTATGTTAATGAGGTCTCAATGAAAGCTTGCCACTACATTTTTTGTACTTACACTTTTTACAGTATATACGGTAATAACTGTTGTCTAATTTTTATCCTAAGAGAGTGGGATATCGGTTTGTTATAGTATGTGTCTGTGTGTTTGTGTGTATGTTTGTGTGTGTTGCAGAGGGGACCAGGACTGTAAACATAAAAATTAGAATGAGAATAAAAATTTTTCTACCAAGACAAACACATAATACTTCCCCTTATTCTAGTCACAAAGTGATTTTTTATTATTATATTACACCCAGGTTTATTAGCCTGGGTGACCAAAAATTTGTCCAATCTTGTTATGTGTTGGAAAAAGCAGTTAAATGTGTAAAAATGAAATTGAACCAAACAGTGAGCTATACCTTTATACTTTATGGTTAAGAACCCCACATCACCATAGCAATTGTTGTGTTGGTGTAAGGTATATGTACCAATTTTCTTCTCATCTTGTCAACATATACTCAGAGTAGAAATCATGTTTCAATACAACAATTTTACAGTGTTTTAGCCAGGTTTAGACGTCTGTTGCCTTATTGCATAAATTATGTTAATGAGGTTCATATTTCAACCTCAATGTC